CCACGTTTTTATCCAGGGGCCTGTTTCACAAACATTTCCTAAGATATGTCGTAAGACATAACTTAAGATATGCCTAAGTTATAACTTAGGAAGTTCCTAAGATTTGTCACAGCTGTTTCACGAAACAATCTTAACTAAACTTTATCCTAGGACATTTCTTAAGCTGTGAATAGCTGTGTGTAAATAATAACCCACATAACTACAAATCCTTAACATGTATTGTAAGAGTAGTTTGAGTAGTCTTTAGTTTAAGGTAGCTTATTTCAATTAGTTTGAAAAAAAATAGTCTGAAAGGGGGAGAGGTGTGGATTGTGGATTGGGGGGGGGGGGGTATTGTGGTAAGGATTTCTTTTACTTTCATATAAAATGGACAAAAGTGTGATTAAACTGACCTACTCAATTATTTTCCTTGACAAGTTGTCCGATGGAACTTAGTACACCCTCACCTCCATACCACATACGATATATATGCATGTATTTTCTTTAATTATTCTAAAAGTAGGCGTTTGCTTAATACAAGGTAACGTTCCTAGTAAACCTTATCGAACACGGCAATCGTTAGATATATTTTTTTTCTTCATGAATGGGTGCTTTTTCTTTGTCTGATCTTCGTTAGTAGTCCGTGCTTCGTTTAAAGCTTTCTCGCTCACAAAATAACAATGTCTCGACAGAAGAGGAACCCCAATTTTACGAATTCTGAAATAACTATTCTTATAGAAGAAGTAGAAAGAAGAAAAGATGTTCTTTTCTCCAAGCACAATTCCACCGTGACTAATCAAGCCAAAAAGGGGGAATGGGACCATATTTGTTCTAAAGTGAATTCGGTCAATACAAGTTACATTATGTCAGCAGAGGAACTAAAGAAAAAGTGGAGTGCCATTTGCAGCGAAGGTAAAAAGAAATTCGCAAAAATTAAAAGGGAACAGAGAAAAACTGGAGGTGGTCTTTTGCCGGCAGACTGTACTACAACCCCACTAGATGAAAAAAATACAATCAATTTTGGGTGAGACATCTACATCCGGAGTTGAGGGGGGCATCGACACTCTTGTACAAAGTGAACGAGGTTGGTGTCCACTAATACTAGTATTACATACGAATATCAAATCTTTTTTAAATTCTAAAAATGATTGGGGCACTTGTCCATAATTTGTTAGTTATTAACAAGTTGTGGCGTGTTTGTTCTAGCATCTTTTTTGCCAATTCTTCTAGTCATATTTGTATTTTTCCTCATGATTATTAATATCCTTGTAAGGGATATATTCAAATATGGGCATGTTTAACTTTTTTCTTATATGGTTAATTTGTTTAGCATTCTAAAAAATGCCCATTTACAACAAAAAGTTTGTTTTTATACTTGCAAAAAACATAGCAGAGTAGACTCATGGATGGAGAAATAAATTATTAATTCTAAAAACGATTGTTATTTACTTCAGATTAAACACATACATTCACACACCTTCCCTCACCAGGCGCGGATCCAGAAATTTTTCAAAGGGGGGGGGGGTTGAAGTATTTTTCAAAAGGGGGATTGAAGGCGAAAACAGTTAAAGCGTACGTTGTACACATACATAAAGTTAAATAACTCAATAGAATATCGTTACAGGGTCGAGTATGGTTTTTGAAAGTGGGACGTTGATCAATCTGGGAAAAAGTACTTGTATACATTACCAGAAAGTTTTTGAAAAAGAAAGGAAAATAAATCTCCGAACCTGAAAATCCTATTTTGTAAAGGGATGGGGTTTTATTTTGTTTTTACAACCGAATTTCTTTATATATTACAACATTAGCCTTTCACCTTACATTTTCTATAGTAAACACACAACAACAAAATTGGAACTTTCTTATTTCTCTTTCTTTTTTGCAAATCCAAAGGGGTGGGGGGGGGGTTGGGTTGCAACCCCCGTAACGTAACCCCCCCCCTCTGGATCAGCCACTGCTCACCTACAAACACATCCTCACACACACACACACCCTAACATTAATATATATATAACGTATATAATTTATTTATTATAATATTTATAACTTTTATTTTATTTTAAAGATGAGTCGAATGAAGTGGAAAGAAAAGGGGGTATCCTTACAGAAAGTCTATCAACGGACCAATCATTGGAAGTATCTACGGCTACAACAACAGTTACTGCTACATGTAGTGAAACTAGCAAACCTACATCAACATGCATTAATGGTAAACTCATCATTTCAATCTGTATACTTGAGTCATCATCGCCTTTAAAACTGATCAATCACTGCACTGAAAATAATGCTTTGTTTAGTTCTAAAAAAAAAAAGACATATAAAAGATAAAAATAGCTCCCTGAGAAATACAGACCCCTTTAAATATTGCAATGAAAGACATGTATCTGAAGAGAAAAAGAATTTTCCTGACTTTTTAAAAAAAATTATTTTCTTTCTACATCTGACATATCTTAGAGTTCATGTACATCCCAACCTGGAAAATAATCCTGCGCCTGTCTTTACTTATACATGTACTAATCTTCAAATGTGTAACATATTTTTATTCGTTCATTCTTTTTTACTTGTAGCACCAACTAGGAAGCGAAAACAGGACCTGCAATCACCATCACTTGAATTAGTTAAAATTGAAAAAGAAAGACTGGAAATAGAGAAAAAGAGAATGGAGCTTGAAGCAGAAAGACTGGCAGTTGAGCAGAAACGGCTTAGTATAGAGCAGGGGAGACTGCAAATTGAGCAAGAAAAACATAATATTAAACTTTGTCAGTTGGGCATTATTTCTAATGCCACAGTAACACCTATCCAGTAAATAAATTTTGTAGATGTTATAAATGTTTTATATTTCATATTACACTCATTTATACACAAAAGTATTTTATTCTTCAGTACATGTCATTCATTAGTACATTTGCATACATTTTCTAAAATCTAGCTTTAATCAACTGTCTCCTATTGTCATTTCTATCATTTAGGGTTCCACGATATACACAGTCATTACCGTCATTCATAACAGGCCTGCCTTGTGGTTCTGGGACTCTGTTTTCAACACAAATGTTGTGCAAAACTGCAGTCGCCACTATGATGTTGCAGGTTCTTTTGGGTGAAAACTGTAAAGTACCACCAGAAGTGTCCATGCAGCGAAAGCGCATTTTCCACACTCCGAAACACCTTTCAATTACATTTCTCGTTTTTATGTGTGCTGTGTTATAGGCATTCTCCTTGGGTGTAGTTGGGTTCATAACAGGTGTAAGTAGAAATGATCTAAGTGGATATCCACTGTCACCTAAAAGCCAACCTCTTGGGATGTTCTTGTTTTCAAAAAGTTGACAAAGGGTGGAATTGTTCCATACAAACGAATCATGTGATGATCCAGGCCACTTTGCTACTATATTAATGAATTTCAGTTTTGCATCACACACAGCCATAGTGTTTATAGAGTGGTAATTTTTTCTGTTCACAAAGACGTGCTCTTCAAATGATGGGGACTTTATTCCCACATGTGTACCGTCTATTGCGCCTATAACATTAGGGAAGCCACAAATTCTTGAAAAATCATACATTCTATTTGTAATTTCATTCTCATCAATGGACATTTTTATATATCTTGGACTTATTTTGACCAATGATTGAGACACATCTCTGACAATTCTTGAAATGCTCGACTTACTTATTCCATGTAAGTCGGCAGTTACTGTTTGAAAGTTACCAGTAGCAAAGAAACGTAATGCAGCCATAAGCTGCAGGGATGGTGGAAGTGCATGAGACCTTCGTGTAGACCTTGTGATGTCATTTTGTATCATTTGACAGATGTCCAATATCAAATGACGAGGCAGTCTAAACTTTGAAATTATCTCACGGTCATCCATATAGTCCAAAGGATTGTTTCTATCCCTAAACAACCTCTCTCTCCGTAACAGTCTCCGTTCGTTTATTATTAAATATGCAGCCGCCATATTTAGTTTCTTCCTAAGTCATCGATTTACCTGTCCTAAAGTTACGACATAACTTAGGAATATCCTAAGATAAGACGAGGTTAGTGAAACGGATAAGTAATGAACTTAGGAAAAAGTTCTTTCCTAAGATAGAACTTAGTCCTAAGTAGGCTTTGTGAAACGGGCCCCAGATGTCAAAGCTCTGTAACAGAATCGCATGACAACAGGGGTCTTATGTGCATTATGTAACACTGTCTGGTTAAGGTGTCTGTAACATTACTTTTATATATACAAAAAATGCAATGAAGGTGAAGATCTAACATATATAGTTTGCCAGTACTATATTGCAACATCATGGAATCAAAGTTATAAGGTATTTTGAATTTAAGGTTTATGATGTACGATTTCGTCCATCTGCTCCTTGGTATTTTAAGGACTGGATATTTTAACCCCCTTACTGTTAAATAGCTTAATTTAGATTACTATTTATTTTTGACTTGAGACATTATTAGAAGATTATTAGAAGACACACAGCTTCTAAAGTGGTTAGCTAACATGACATTTATGATGAAAGCTTTCAGAGTTAGAACCAGATTGATTTTCTTTGTCTGGTACTGCAGTAAAAAGGTTTATCCCGTGGTCAGTGATGGTAAAGATAAAACCAAGCATTCTAATTCAATATCCAGAGGACTTCTTATGAGTGTTAAAGAAGGTTAATAGTTCTATTTGTAAATTATAAAGAAGGGGGTTGGTGTTAAGATATTGATGGAATCAATGCCTTTATTTGCCTAAGGTCTAGACAACCTTCTAATGGCTGATTTTACAATCACTAATTACTATCATGTGGTGCAGATTCATTACTGCAAATAAGAGAATCATTTTGTGTGGATCATCTGGTTCTGAGGGTTCGATACAGATGTACAAGCCTTGGAAATTGTGATATAAAGACAGAATCATAATACCCGGCAGCTAAATGTTTCCTTTTACTTAGAAATCTTAATGAAATACATTCCCTATCAAATGCCTGATGGTAACGAAAGAGTAGAACAGTGACAGCCGTAGAGAACACTATTTACTACGCACATTGTTGACACCAGCTACTCTCTGCTATTTTGTGCACATTCTAAGAAAGAAGTGGTGATATATCTGATCCCATGGCAAACCGTACAGAACCAGAAAAAAGTTGTTAATCTGATCAGTGGAGATTAATATTACTATTGTTTGAGGAGGAGTTACTATATTTCCTGAGGTTATATGTCAGTAGTTCACTGCCCTGAAGCCTCAGTCACTTTCCTCTGATTTCCTTCCACTGCCCCCCTCCTGCTGCTCTGAGCCCCCGGGTCTGGTGACCATGGTGACAGAACATGTTCCTATCTGATGGCTTCCTCTGGCTTTAAATCTCTCTGTTGTTGTCTTTGTGGATCTAAAAAGAAATTCCAGAAACTACAGGTTTGGATTTATAATTTTTTTGTTCGGAAATTTTATAACTGGAATACTAGTGTCAAGCTTCTCCTAGATTTGGATTGCAATCAAGAAAGTAATGTAATGGATGTCTGAGAGGAAATTTATGAAAGCCATAAAAGATTTTGAAAGAAAAGTGAATTTGAGGTGTTACTGTTTTGAGATTTGGCAAAGGGAGCTCAGTTTTGAGAAAAGCCAGATAAGGGGGTATAAAGCAAATTAAAACTGATTGATAAATGAGTATGGTACTGTATTTGATATTTATAAGGTGAGCCACTGAGGTATGGAATAAAGGATCCTAAACATCATTTCAACTGCTCTAAATAATGAGTTTAGTTTTACAGATTAACTTGATATTTTTATCAAAATGTCTTGTAAATGTTCTTTTATATCTTTTTATGGTCTTGGCTAAATAAGATACTAAGTATCTCTCAAATATTTCTGTTAAAATCATTCAGTCATCCTTCTATCAGGTTTACTTAATTTAAATTTTGGCATATTTGACTTCAGGAAATTGATGTTAATAAATAACTTGTGTTCATCAAATTCTCGCTTGAAGTGAATCAGAAATTTTACATTCAAAGAATGCACTCAACAGGGCAGATTTAGGTTTCTTAAAAATTGAAACATTGTTCATTGACAAATTTTTTTGTGCTTATAAATGATACTGATATTCTTCATTAACATGTACATGTAATATTATTTTCAAAAGTATCATTTGAGTGCTTAAAGATTTTTCTGCACATGTGCAAACATATTTTCTCATACACGTGGTAGACACAAGAGCCATTCCTTTTACTCTGGTTAGGATGTAGATACAGTGATAGTGTATTGTCAGTATGGTACGTTACACACTCTGATGAAGACATGAGGAAAGCATACCAAAGCTCAGCATATCAAGTCATTGTAGTAAATCACTGGTTACCTATGAACCAAAACCCACACTGACTTTGCTATGTAGTGTGGAATGTTCATGTGTTAGGCATGCTTGATGCTTACAGCTTCTTATATCAGGTACCTATTGAGTGACCAAAAATTGCAATAGTAAAAAAATGGGGAGAGATTTATTTCAAATGGATGGTTCTAATTTTGAGCTTCCAGTATATAAATATAGCGTAATAATCTGAATGAATAATCAATCACTGCATAATTTAAAATCAGAAGTGCATGTAATAAATAATTATGATAATCATGTTTTACTCTTCTTTATAAGTTTTAGATTGAATCAATTCTTTTCAGATGGGGTACCTGAAATAACATGAAACATATAGATTACATGTATTATATATTAAATTTATGGAAACTGTATTTGTAGACCTTTGAACCTGTTGAAGAAGTAGAGTCCGTGCCCCCCAAAAAAGTCCAGACAGAACAGCCCAAACGTGCAAGGTCTGTCACCCCGGACATAGAGAAAGAGGATAGCTGTGTATCAATCTCAGAAAAGGAGGAGAGTTCTGTCCTAGCTGTAGCTCAGGGAGAAAGCACAGCCCCTATAGCTGACCAGGAAGAGAGTCTATTGTTAGACTTAGAAGGAGAGTCCATTTCTCATACTGAAAGTAAAAGTAACACACCTCTCCTACCACGAGAGTCTAAATTAAAACCTCAAACAGATGGTGGTCTAGGTAATTCTAAACAGCTGATATCATCTACTGAGAGGGATCTGAAATTAGACAGTACAAAAGTTATAACCAAGGAACCCAAGCCAGTTCCTGAAATATTCATCTGTGCTGAAAGTTCAGATACACAGTCAGAACCACCTATTGTCACAGAGACATTTGAGCCTTCTACAGCGGATCCAAGTAAAGTCAGTACAGAGGAGGGAAAAGAAGCTGTAGATTTACTGAATCAGGAAATCAAAAAAGTGTTGACAGAGAAAGGAGAAGTAACTGAAAGTAAAGACAAAGACAGTCCTTCTGCTGAAAAGAACAAACTTCTGGAAGCGATTAATTTGACACTGACAAACATCATGGAAAAAGCTGGTAAGACCTCATTTACAGTATTGTTGATCAATGTAATGTTTATGCATTTGATTTAAATCCACTTAACAGCTTAAATTTTGATTTTTTTTGTTTTAAAAATGTTGCTAAAATAGAATTACCGTATTGTAAAGTGTTTATGTTTCCACTGACAGACAATAAATTAATTGTTAAGTGTTTACATTTCCATTGACAGATAAATTAGTGGTAGAACAGGTGTCAGTCAATATGGCCACAAAGACTGAACACGCTGCTCCTAAGTCAGAAGTACTCTCATCACTAGTGGAGCAGGTCCAAGCACCTGCTGAAAGGGAAGCAACTCCTGACTCAGATGGCTCCATGCATGGTAGTTCTGGATCTGAAGCTCTGGAGGAAGCACTGAAGGATGCTGGGATTGTTAATGGGGATAAGCATGAGGAAAAGGGAGATAAACAGGAAAAGGGGGATAAAAAGGAGGAAAAGACTGGGAAAAGTAAAAAGAAAGAAGACAAAACTATAGGTACAATGTAGATTCATACATGCAGTGTTATGATGGGAAAATGACTAACATTGTACCCCCATCTACTACAGATTTGAAAGGGGGGATTTCTTGATCAGTTTATTATTTGAATTTTATAAACAAAGATTTTTTTCATGTTGGAGAAAAATAATAAAAAGAGAATAATGAAGGAATCATCATAAAAGATTTCTGTATGTAGTAATATCAAACTATAGCGTGACATTAATGTATACATGTATTTGTATTTTGTACTTTATTTGCAGATCATATATTAAGGGCTTTAAGCAGTTTACAGACAACAGAAGAAAAACTGGCAGCTCTTTGTAAAAAATATGCAGATTTACACGAAGAGCACAGAGTTTTACAGAGTACTCATAAACAACAACAGAGGAAACTAGCTATGGTAAAGCTCATTGTCATATTTAATCTCATGTTTCATTTTAATCTATATCTATTTTATAAGTCAAGTACATTTTTTGAAGAATTTTTTTCTTTATGAAAAGTATAATCAATTTAGCATTGGGAATATTTACAGAAGTTTAAGCTCTTAAATGACTTTGATTTTTGTACAGGTAGCCTTTTTATATTTTTCAATGCAAAGTATGCATACATTTCAGTGCTTCTTATTTTATAGGCTTGCTGTGATAAATTATATCTTATGCTTAAGATATTTTGACATAAAAACCATGTTATTTTATTAGGTAACAAGGGAAAAAGACCAGCTCCAAACAGAACACACCAAGGCAGTGATGGCTAAAAGTAAACTAGAGGGGCTCTGTCGAGAATTACAGAAACATAATCAGGTCATCAGGGTAGGTTGAATGAAAGTTCACATGGAAAAAAAAAATAGATTAAAATATCACACCATCACACTTTTCTTTTTTGAAAATATTTCAAGCTCAAAACACAATACCCTTGTATGCTTCAAATTAAAGAGATGAAATTGTCATTAAGGCATATCAATCTGTCTTGAATTTCATATACAACTTATACATGTGGTGTATTGCTAATCAATTTAAAAAAGAAAAATTGATTTATCTTTTTTTTTATTTACAGCAAGAAAGCTTGCAAAGAGCAAGAGAAGAAGATGAAAAGAGAAAAGAGATATCAAATAAATTTCAGGTTTGGACTTCAAAGATTATAATCTCATAACTTGTTTGACAGATGAAACTATGTTTAGGAATGCAACATAGAAAAACTGTAGAAAAAGTTTATGAAGAAGTAAAAAATTTGTTTTATTTTAGTTAACAATAGAAAATTTTCCATGAGTAACCTGGACATTTCCATGTGTTATTGGTACATGTTTTTTCATTGCATTGAGATCTTATTTTCAAACAATATTTTTGTTTAGTCCACGATTTCGGAGATCCAGCAGCAGATGACAGACCATCATGACAGAAATCTAAAGCTGCGGGAAGAAAACCAGGAACTAGCCGGCAAACTCAAAAAGTTCATTGAACAGTATGAGGTCCGAGAGAAGGTGGGTACCTGTTTATTGTTACAATCTTATTATAATTTAAAAAGTTTAAAAGATGTCACTGGTGTTATGATTGCTCTTTAAAAAAAGAGTTACTCATACATAAATCAGCTTTTTGCACCAATAGATTGCAATTGTTTGACAAATGCTCATTTTGTTTATGAAAGTCCTGAAATATGAATTAGAGACATTCAACAGTTATTTGTTTTGTGATAAATTACAATGAATTTCTGTTGATCTTTTTGTTTTCCTCTCCTTAAGTATTGATAAGGTGATCCAAAGTGAAAAGATTTTTTTACACCAGGGTAATTGAAAAGAAAAACTTCATGTTATCCCTATAAAAAATGAATTGTTGTTGCATGTACCTAAAAGGTTCTTTGGATGTTTTGTTATCTTTTATCCAACCACACATAGTGCAAATGCCTATTAGTAAATTTATACATTTCTTGCATGCAGCTCAGGTTTAAAATAAGCATTCTTAACAGCATTCCAACTCAAAAGTTGTACTCTTAGAGTTAAGTAAAATACACCTGCTGATCTTCCACATGTATTTTTAGCCTTAATAACTGAGCTTATCATAATGTATGCCCTTTCACTTATAAAAGACTTTTCTTGCTTTAGAGCTGCTTCGGCAATTTTTCCAGGATAATTTTCATTTTAAAAGAACATATATTTTATCAAAAAATTGCACAATTACATTTGTATATGATGATTAGAGCTGTCAGTGCAAAGTTTGCATTTGGACCTATTAAATAATTTAATATCCACATGAAACTTTAAAGCTTTTTTAAGTGAGAAACACTCCTGTGGCTCTTTTGCACCGTATTACATCAATATATATCATAAGTAATGGCACCAGGGGGCACTGATTAGGATAAGTGTGGTATTTTGTTCCCTCAGTGATACTTATCACAATTTAAAACAAATAATTGAAAGCAGCTGTTGTCTGTTATCTTATGAAGAAAATAAAGAGGTATCTATAAATAAAGGTGAAGTATGCATTTCAAAGTAAATAAATACAGGGGGAAAGCAACAAAAGGTTCCAGGAATCAAAGTGGTGTTTGGAATTTTTGTCAGATTCATTCATTATGTAGAAATGAATGATATAGGATGTTTTAAAATTCTTTGGTATTTATCATGAATTATAATGTAAGTAAATATTTTCCTTATTAAAATCCTAAACAGGTTTTTGACTGATCTTTCATGTCAAATCGCGAGAATGATAATTCGTGAATGGACGTTTGATCAAGATAATTTACATGGATTATTTTAAAAGCAATAGAAATTAATAATTAAATAGAAATTAAATTTATCCTCTATTTATGATTAGAACATTACTCACATTTATATTTGTTAAATACTACAGAGAGTATCTGGCTCTTCACTTTAAGGGATATCACCGTACCCGCTCCCTCCCAAAACAGCTCATTAAAAAGTACACTATAACGTGTAAAATCTTTTGATTACTTTCTCCCATTAAAAAATACCTACTGTATATTGTCAAAAAAAATATGCTTAAATGCATAGCGTCAATTTGTAATAAAAGACTGGATCATCTAATATTTTTTTTTTACAGCAAGTGGAGAAGGTGATGCAGCATAGAGAGCTGGAGCAGAAGTTAGCGGACGCAAAACTGGAGCAGGCTAACGCTTACCTAGCAGAGGAGCAGGAAAAGTGTAGAAAGGAGCATCTAGTGGTAAGTATTGGCAGTATGTTAGGAGCAGGCTAATGCTTACCTAGCAGAGTAGCAGGAAAAGTTTAGAAAGGAGCATCTAGTGGTAAGTATTGGCAGTATAGTTAGGAGCAGGCTAATGCTTACCTAGCAGAGGAGCAGGAAAAGTGTAGAAAGGAGCACCTAGTGGTAAGTATTGTCAGTATAGTTATGAGCAGGCTAATGCTTACCTAGCAGAGGAGCAGGAAAAGTTTAGAAAGGAGCATCTAGTGGTAAGTATTGGCAGTATGTTAGGAGCAGGCTAATGCTTACCTAGCAGAGGAGCAGGAAAAGTTTAGAAAGGAGCATCTAGTGGTAAGTATTGTCAGTATAGTTATGAGCAGGCTAATGCTTACCTAGCAGAGGAGCAGGAAAAGTGTAGAAAGGAGCATCTAGTGGTAAGTATTGGCAGTATAGTTAGGAGCAGGCTAATGCTTACCTAGCAGAGGAGCAGGAAAAGTTTAGAAAGGAGCATATAGTGGTAAGTATTGGCAGTATAGTTAGAAGTGTCGAAAGGAGCATTTAGTTGTAAGCATTGTCAGTAAAGTTAGGAAAAGTGTAGAAAGGAGCATCTAGTGGTTTTAGCAATGGCAGTATAGTTAGGAGAAGTAAAGAAAGGAGCATTTAGTGGTATGTATTGATGGTATAGTTAGGAGCCTAATATATATTGTTAGTTATCCAGCAACAAAAACAGATCCTGTCTTGAATTTACTAAAAATTGTTTTCCTATGATTTAGGCTTGTATCTGTTAAATTTCTTAGATGTAGATTTTAGGTGAAAGGAATGAATCTTCACAACACTGTTACACAAGTGCATTGAAAATCATTGCATTTTTACTTAAAATTAATGGTGCTTAAGTGTAGGAAACTGTCATTAAATCCAGACGGTTTAATTGTAATATTTATACATACCGGTATTTATTATATTGTGGGAAGTTTTATGTTAATTTTATCTATCTCTCACACAGGCTGCAGAGAATGCCAAGCGGGCAGCTTTGTTAGAGACTCAGGTGAGTAGTGGACATCTTCAATTTCTGCATAGACTTATAGTTTGTGATAGGTACCATAAGATCTGAATGCAAAAAGGCTTCCTACTTTTTTGTAGGAGATTCTTTTCTTATTGCATATACTGTGTAATTAAGAAATAAATAACAATGTTAAAAAGTTCTCTGGGAAATGAACTTAGTTGGTCACATGATCAAATCCTGTGAAGCCCGATTTGAGACAAATAAATTCCCAGTAAAACTGCATTTATTACACGAACGGGTCGCCATATCGTTATGTTGTGAGGCGCAATGACCTAGAAGTTGTTTGGTCCTTGAAGTTTGTCTCGCTCCAACATTTGAATATTTACAAATGATGCTCAGCAGTCCAGTGCAGGAATTCTTTGTTTATAATGTAAAAAAAATGATCCCAACTGAGAATAATCTTATTATTTTATGAGTTCTCAATATATTTGAAGTAAAAAGTGGTGGTATCGCCTTTTTAAGTTTACATAACTTCAAAGGAATTTCGGGTTAAAAGGACAAGTGCGATTTTAGGCTAAATATAGTATTTTTATAGAAAATATTCTTCACGCCAAAGGAAGATCTATTGAACATCTGTTAAAATGAAATACAACTGCATATCTATATGTTTCAGTTATTTATCTTTTTCGTTGCTTTTAACTTGGTAGCTCCAAAACCAGACAGAAATTGCTTTTACATAAATCCAGATATTTTTGTCAAATTTTAACTATTTAAAAAAAATAAATAAAGGCATAAAAATCTGTTAAAATTTTACTTTAATTCTTGCTATAAATGTAGTACTGAAGATATTACATACCTATTATTAATTCTCTTTACAGCTAGCCATGTATAAAGAAAGATATGAAGAGTTTCAGTCCACTATTAATAGAAGCAATGATATGTTCCAGAAATTTAAAACAGAGATGGAAAAGGTATTTCCATTTAGTCAATGCATTATAAAAATTTAAAAACCTAAAATATTGTTCTATTTACTATGCACATTTCCTTTTTGCTCAATTTATAATGTCAATTCATTGCCCATAAAATAATCCATGTATGTGAAAAATTTGAAGTGAAGTAAAAACATACAGGAATTAAGGCAAAATATGATGACTCCTATTTTGTAATGTTATCAGTTATGCACTGAATTGATCTCTGGATTTGCAGATGACAAAAAGAATTAAGAAATTGGAGAAAGATGGAGCGGCCTGGAAGAATAAATGGGAGAATGCCAACAAAGCTTTACTGGAAATGGCAGAGGAGGTGAGAATACATGCACTGATATACAGATACCAGCTGAATGCTCAACCCCTAATGCTGTCTTTGTTATTTAAAGAGCTGCATAATTAGATGATTTCTAGCTTTAATAAGAACTTTCCTAAAAAGTGCAAAGATCCTGATTAAAAATAAGGGAGTAGCATGTTAAGGGTCCTTTCATTAGGGGAAGTGGGGCTTCCAAAATATTTCTGGGTTTGGAAAAATGAAATATTAGGTTTAGATTAATCCTTTGGACTACTGTCTCTTTATTAAAATGTCAAAAATTCAATTCAAACCTCGCTTAGGTAGAGCAGTTATACATTTGGAATATCTCTTTCACTCTATTGGTATTCCATTATGCTCACAGATTTGTTTGGGTTTTTTGGAAAGAATATACATGTATGGCCTACAGTACAATATCAAAAGATTTTTTCCAGCTCATATTACACACATGTACCATTCAGACACAGTGAGTTTATATAAGACGTATAATATATTTTGTAGAAACAACTGTACGACAAAGAGAAACCATTACTTCTCAATAAAATCCAGAAACTGGAGTCGCTGTGTAGAGCCATGCAGGCGGAAAGACTAGGGAGAAAGGCAGCAGAGGCACATAACATAGGTAGGTATTTACAGGTTCTTATAAAAGTTAAAAGTCATAGAATTAAACAAGAACACACAGAATGCTTCAAAAGTTTTATGATTATGTACCTATATGATACTGTAGTTACTGTTTAAGTTTAGAGTAAAATTCAAATTTGTTGTTATTTACCATGAATTTTGAAATTGGAAGCAAGATTGTTGGTACAAATTCTTTTTTATTACATTTATAACTGCATTTTTTTTTAATTTTAGATATATCTAATATAGATGAAGAGTTACCCAAAGTGTTGGCGAGTTCCACAACTCCTCCCAAATCTTCTCCAGCCAAGTCAAAACCTGAGGCCGAAAATGCCTCACCCTCAGGGTCAGATGAAAAATCCCCACCCACAGAACCCAGTGGAGAGGGAGATACAGGGGACGAGGCCAATCCTGCCCCAACAGACGAAGACAAACCCGTACAGAAGTCAGAGGAAACTCCAGCTGAGTCGAATCCCGAGTCTCAACCTGAAGACACACCCGCTGAAACGTAGCAAAGAGGGACTATTGAAAATTTCGTTGCATTTTATTTTAGCTCACCACAGCCAAATGATCAAGGAAGCTTATCTGACTGAAACTTGTCTGCCTTCTGAATGGAAATTTGTTTGTTTGTGGAAATAATTTCCACAGATAATTTCATACACTGTCATGAAATAATTCTATGGTGATGCTTATGATGTTACTTTTTCTTCAGAATATTTAAATTCCACAAAAACCACATTGGTTTTATTTATGGCATTTGTAGAAGATTTTCTTTCCATTCCTAAAACATCTCTGATATTTTTCTACACTGGAATCAATAAAATGCAGTGTTTTGGAGTGAACAAAATTTTAAAGTGTATAGCATGCCTTTTGGTTCAAAAAAAAATTATTGCTGCATATTCATTTCACTTAATACAGATATCTTCTAAATGTGCTCAGTTAGACTCCTGACTTTCTAGCAGTGATCGGACTTGACTTTTTTATATAACTGTTAAACAGTTTTTCTTGTTCCTTTTTGGTGATTAAAATTTAACTTCATGTGATGCTGTTTGGGAACTCTGGTGAGACATGTGACCCTGTGGCCTCTGTGTTTGTAAGCCATGGTGTAAAAATATCATTACACCAAGTACAGCTTTGACTTCCAAGTATGTACAAAGATGATCAAAGGTGTTTTAAGAGCAATATTTTAACTTTTGATTATTTAAAGTTTGTTGGATAATAAAGAAGAAAGTTTGCTGTATCCTTAGCTTTTTGTTCAACAATGATGTGATTATTGTGTTAGACTACAAACAAACTTATTTCGGTATGTGACCATTGTTTTGCACTGCAGTGGTTTGAAGTTAACTTGGTAACTGTGACACCACTTAGTCATTATATGTCAGCATTCAAGGTGAAAGTTCATGGCTAACGAAGACAAGGATCCATTGTGTAATAACCTTAATACTTCCATCAAGAAAAATATGTGTTCGGGGTCACTGTTTGTTGAATGTCAAAGGATATTCCAAAACAGTTGGATGTGTGTTACAATATTCTAATCAAGTTTTCTTTTCTGCCCCCGTGGAGAGTGGTTAGAGCGTGTGCTCTAGAGTCGCGAAGTAAGAAGTTGAATCCCACTAGGATGTGGCAACTGGTCTGAAATAGGAGGTTATTATATAGTGAGCTCACTGCTCACAGTACCTCTAGTTTTTTTTTTTATATTGCTAAACTTAGAAAATGGTATGAGATGATAATCAAAGTGTCCACTTAATGTGAAGAAGTTATATGGTCGCTACAATGACCTAGTCAGCATATACAATTAATCAATGTGTCAAATGCTGACTGAAGTTTTTTATACTATAGTCCATTATATATACATTGAATTGAGAATATATTTTTCCGTTATTTCCCGATCATGACAAGGAGCACACGGCGGATGTGACCAGTCGGCAGGGGATGCTCACTCCTCCATAGCACCTGATCCCACCTCTGATGTTTTGGAGGACCGTTTTTGCTCTGCTCCTATTTTGTATTGTTTTATGGACTTTTATTTTTTTGAATACTGTTCTTTATCTCCATATGTTTCATGCGAGCCTCTTTGTTAATCTTTTATACACATACCCTTTTCCATACCCCATCCTTTATAAGTTCGAGGCACCAGTATCAGGCAGAGAGTTGATTGTACATGTATATTGGTCCAACAAGGGCCGATGCAGGATATGATATATGGAAAACGGTTATGTTTATTAAGTTTATTATACATACTTAAAAATACAACATGTTTTGCTCTGGAAGACCCGAAATGTGTCAGATCAAAAAGTAAAATAGGAGGTACACAATGGCATTATGTTATAAAGAATTTGTGAAAGTATCATTACATTTTATTCAGTGGTATGGGGGAGTTGCGGATTAGAGATAAGTAAAGAATAATGGCAGTGTCCATGTTTGCTATGGAAAACCGAATTATGTTTCCGATAAAAAAGTACAAGCAAATTCAAAGAATTGTTATCCCCTGCCCTTTTTGGGTGATGTTTATAATGGCAAAGTTCATGTTTTAAGGGTTAACGTTCTTGGTATCCAATGAAAAGTCTTTTCAAAAGGATTACATATGTGAAGTATGAAAGCCCTATCCCTTACCATTCAAAAGTAATGGCCAAGGTTAAAGTTTTCTCACACAAGGTCAAAAGGTCATTGTGTTATAAAGAATTTTGAAATATGAAAGTATCATTAAAAGTTGTAGGCATTTTATTCAGTGGTATAGGAGAAGCTCTTGGTATTCAATGAAAGGTCTTCCCACAAGAATTATATATATGAAGTACGAAAGCCCCAGCCCTTACCATTCAAAAGTTATGGTCAAGGTTAAAGTGGCAAAAAGTCAAGGTTGTTGGTATCCAATATTTGAATACATATGTGGAAAAACCTACCATTCAAAAGTTATGGCAAAAAGTAATAGTTTCGAATTTTTATGTAAAAGTGGGTCAAACTCCAAGGTCAAGGTCAAAAGGTCAAATTTGGTAAAATACACATATGAAATATGAAAGTCATAGCTCCACTAAATCAAAAGTTATGGGCAAGGGTAAAGTTTTTGTGACGGACGGACATACTGACGGACAGACGAATGAGATTTAATGTCCCCTAGCTTTCGCAAAAGCGGGGGACAAAAATAGGAGGTGCACAATGGCACTATATGACAAAGAATCTACGAAAGTCTCATTAAAGTTTATTCAGTGGTATAAGAGAAGTTGTGGATAAGAGATGGGCACCCCAAAGCCTTACAGACGGACGGACATTTCGATCACTATATACCACCCGCTTTTCAAAGGGAGGGGTATGATAACGATGCACTGACCTCCGACACTGAATTACCATATCTATATTGGATACCAAAACTTCATATAAACATAGCGGGTTCCAGTTAATGTACTACCAAACCTCTTTCTTTATTCCTCACTAATAAGATATCAATAGTAGTGAAGGAGAAACTTCAAGAGTACTGTTCAACGATATATTCGAAAAGTGGTGTAAATCAGATGTGGATATTAAAAATTCTCAGGAATAAGTGGAACATTTGAAAGCATCAAATTTTACCAAAATCAACAACATAAAATCTTACTTTTTAATTTATTATGCAACTTTTCTCCACGATAGATTAAAGTTCAGGCTTTCTGACATCATTGACAACTGCTTTTTTTCGAATAAATATGGAACTCATAAATTTACTTACCTTGTCATTGGTCGTTTGCAAAATATATGCGCGAATTTATGACAATATCTATGTGGGTTTTCTTCCAACAATCTGCCAGGGATACAAATTGTGCCCCATTATTAGAAGTTTTTTCATATGAAGCAGAATTCAAAATCATTTACGTGAAAAAGAAGAAAACACTTGCTAAGGCCTTCAACTCGATTTTTAGATATTCTCAATTAACAATACCCGGTTATTATTTCCATTCTTATGTCCACACGATGTATCCCAGTGAGATTGAAATAAAGGATACTACAGAGTCTGATACAGTGTACATCTGTTTCATATTTGGATCTTTTACTAGAAAAGACATAAATGGGTATCTAACAACAAAGCTTTACGATAAACTTCATGACTTTAATTGTACAATCGTCAACTTCCCTTATTTTTGCAGCAATCTACCTTTGTCACATGCATACAGAGTTTATATCTCTCAAGCATAGGCGCTTGGGTCAAGCATTTTTCGACATAATGTGTTGTCGAAAATTCATGTAACAATTTTTTTCAGTGTGCAGTGTTAAGTTTTAGTTTTTTGTAAACCTTTCTGCTTCATATACACTAGAATGTCACGGAAATTCAATTGTATACTAAAAAGAAGCTTTTCTACAGGTCCTTTCGCCATCCCGGGGAAGACTATACCTGCACACCACAGGCGCTTGTTTCATACAATAGGCTAGATTTTATACTATATAATAACACAGGCGCTTGTTTCATACAATAGGCTAGATTTTATACTATCTAGCCTATTGTATGAAACAAGTTTTATGGTGGCGAAAGGACCTGTACAGTATACAATTGAATTTCCGTGACATTCTAGTGTATATGAAGCAGAAAGGTTTACAAAAAACTAAAACTTAACACTGCACACTGAAAAAAAAAATTGTTACGAGTATAGTTCGAATTTCCTCGACAATACATTATATAGAAAAAAAAATACAGTATCCTTGACCCAAGCGCCTATGCTCTCAAGCGATTCGATACAGAAGAGCATGTTCTACGTATGAACAATTTCAAGGTAAGTTATTGACAAACAAGTTGATGAAACAAGTTTAAGTATCAGCGGTCTCGTTGAATCATTTTGTTTTATGGTTTATACAATGACCTTGTCAGCCACGGATTTTCCGCTGTGTAGCCCTAGCTTTAACCCTAACCATGACAAGGCGCATACGGCGGGTGACCGGTGTCACCGGTCGGCAAGGGGATGCTTACTTCTCCATTGAACCTGATCCCACCTTTGATGTTTTGGAGGTTCTTGTTTGCTTCGCTCCTATTATGTAATGTTCAATGGACTTTTGAGCCCGAATACTTTTCGTTATCTCCAAGTATACCTGAACAAAAACTAGATGTAATATACAAGCAAACTGATTATCATATCTGTATCCATAATCGTACGGATTATCAAGAAATCATTATGACTTTAGTCTATGAGAAAGAAATATTGTGTAAATTTATATATTAAAATTACGCAAATTCATCATTCCTTCTATTATTAAAATTAATGACATTTTGCCGAATCGTTACTGGCGCTCTGTAGATCAAGGGTAGTGAACTCTTTTTTGGAGAAATAGAGGTGGAAAAAATAGAGTTATCTTTCTTTGAATGCATTCAGATAGCTTTTATTTTTTTTTCTATACGGATAACCTAGATTTTTACATATGTAGATTAATTTTTTTTTTTTGTATAAAATGTAAATTTTTGTTTCCGTATTGGGTCACTCTTCTTCGACTTTGACCTGCATATGAATACAATTACATAGTGAATTCAAAAAGATGTAAACAAGGAAATTTTTTTAAACCACTGAGTGTACTGTTTCAAAATTTTAAAAGAAATTCTAAGGAAGAGAAATTAATCAAAATATCGTTTGTTTACCAAAATGAGGATGGAAAGAAATCAGTAAAAATATAAAAATAATATTTTAGTAAATTTATTCAGAGTGGAGAGAAATTTAATTTCACAGTTAGATTTTTAAAGTAAAATAGGAGACCCATTGTTTATACTTACATTAATTATGTATTGTTCAATAAATTAATCAATACACATAGAAGTATAATTGGAACATGTTTTAATTGTTTCTCCATTTCTAATTAAATGACTGACTGATTTTAAGAGAATTTTCTCAAACCCGAGGCGGACATTACATTTATATATACATGTACACAACTATCGATATGGAAAGCTGTACATCCTGTTTACAATACGTTTAAACCTTTAAAATAATTGTCTCTTGACATGCATTATTAGAGGCGTAATTGGAGCATTGAAGTGCTCCATTTATAGATCTAGAGCACTAGGTTGCCTCAGAATCATTCAATTTTTTCTGCATCAACACAATTCTAGTCCTTTTCTATTTCATATACAGAAAGATGGACGATTTTAGGATTTATCAAATTGCTTCTAATTTTGCAATAATGACTAACTTCCCGTCTGCAAAACTGATTACGCAAGTTTTTTGGGGTAATAAAATCCATATTTGGTTTATCTTCCTCTTGAATAAGAAACATTGCGGAAAATTGTCGCGATTAAATCCTTGGGTATGTGCCAACTTCAGACCCTTTTCTGTGTCAGGAAATTATCAATGGGTCTGCCGTGTTTTCCATCGATCTCTCGCACGCCATATCCACATATATTGCATAACAGGACTTCGAAGGATGTGTAATCTACGCTACCATGGCTCTGGTCAGATTGCATACAGGACATTTAATCAAGGTTTCGTAACTCGAAAGAGAAATCATCTTGTTCTACATTTTTGTGCATATACGATTTAAAGGGAAGTATATACCCAATATTTTATTACTCGAAAAGTGGAGCACCACCATAAACGCCCTAATAAAGTAAAGATAGCAGTGTTTTTACCTTATTTTGCTAAATAATGTCGTTTAATACTAATTCTACAGACTAATTCGAAACTGAAAATCTATGGTTTTTTTTTTTTTTTTGTATATTTATTAAAAGTAAATAAGATGAAAGTTTATATCTATAAGTTCAAACGACCTGTATCCTTTATCAATGTGCTGATGTTGGCAGTGGATTTCAACTGACAACAGCAAAGTGTTGTAAACATAAAAATGTCGGTCAGTCGCATCACGTGACATAAACCAAACAACATGTTCAAGGGCAAACTTTGACGTATTTTTAGACTACTTGGGATCCAATCTTTGGAATGACCTACATGTGATTGATATAGAACAAAAAGACAAGTTTTTGTTGTTTACATTTAATTATTAAAAAATAACATACAGTAGAAAACATATTGTGAAATGAATGCCATTTACCAAAAACGTTTCTCGCCGTTAACGATGTCATTTATAATAAGAAACAACATGATCAGCTATTAAGTTCATTCGAAGTCTTAATGTCCACAAATGTAATCCTAAAAATTCATCCCACATCCGGCAATGAATCTCAGAAAAAATACAATATGTGTACACAATATACTTCTTATAAATATAATATATATAGAAAAAAATGCTGCCTAGCGAAGTACTAGTATTCAATTTCCAAAATATACATGCGTACAAATTGAACTTTACCGTCAGACGCGATTTATCTGTCCGCATACTTTTTTCCCAAAGCATTTCAATATTTTAAAGTTGCATTTTCGCCAGCAGTAATAGTGTTTCTAAGTTCAGAAATCTGCAAAATTTTAATAAATTTGTTGGAAAATATTAACGCACAGAAAGATGAAGCCATTTGCTGAATACGTAATCCTGGCGTTGCACCAAATCAGCATTACGAGAAGTAGGCACTTTTTTTCAAATAGTCATTGCCGACATAAAAGAAAAATAGTCACAGCAAAATGTGAAAAAAAACAAAGTTGTACATGATAGATATATAACACTATGACACAAAATCCAATTAGCACTATTCAGTATGCACCAAATAATATTGTAAAGGAAAACACGTCTCTCCAATCCCCCTTGCTTGTGGGGGGTCTATGACAAAACCGATATCCTATACAAAATACATCCTACAAAGTCCTCCTCTATTCTACAGTTTATGCCTCTCCGTAGAGCAATCCGAACTCTTCCTTGTTCCAAAATAAAAATAAAAAAGTTGTGTTGTTACGCATGGGGAAAAAATGGACAAAAAGGTAACTAAAAACGTGGATAATATTGCAATAAAGTTTGTTGTTAGAGTATAAATTCTACGGAGATGCTAGAGTTCAATTCCATATAGGCTGCTTGACAATGAAGGTGTCCGACATTGGACGAATGAAATGATAGTCGTACGCTTTACAGTAAGGACATGTTATCATGCGGCTGTATTCGCTATAGAACGACAATCCCGTGTTGACGTCAACAACGGCTCGTCTGCAATGCTTGCACGTCAGTCGCTTCTGGCAACATGGCATGGCAGCAAAGATGTCGTAAGAATACATTGTGCCTAAAAGTAGAGTACTTCCATCCCATTTCCTCTTACATGCGGCGCAGCATATATCAGAACCGCCTTCCAAACAACTCACGCAGACAGCGTTGATGAATTGTAGGCGTCCGTCTGATATGACGCGAACGACGCTTTCGTCGTAGGCTTGCGGAGACAGAAAGAACGTACCGTCGATCATTGGATAGCGATCGAACACTGGTAGAACCGTTTTGCACAACACACAGTTGAGGGAACTAACTTTGTACGAACTTAGATGGGTTAGGACAAACGACCTGGTCTCGTCATTTCCCTGGCTATCTTCTTCCATCTTTATATGGTACGGGTTTTGCTTGTGTTTTGGTAGAATGTTGAACGCTGACATGTCGACTCGGCGACGGAAGTATGCCCCGGCTTGAAGCGAGCTTTCCGATGGGTTGTCATACTTCGGCTTCTGCTGTTTTGAAAACATAAAATTGCCGTTGACCACGGGTGACTGTGGTATAGGAGAGGCGGATCCAGTTGATCCCGCTGAATTTGGGGGCGAGCTGCCTGTACTGACTGTACTCTCACAGCTGTTGGTACGTAGACGCATGTGTGCAAATCCATTAACAAGAGGTGTGTTGATGGGGCTGCTTCTGGCCGGAAGACTAGAGCTAAAGGTCGAGTTGCTGCTGTTGCTTGGGCTGGTTGCTATAACGGTATTGTTGTTTATGTTGTTGATGTGGTTTATATTGACGGGAGCCGACGGACCATGGCTGGAGTTGACAGATGAGGTGTGGCCCGGTTTTCCGTTGCTTACGACGGCTATAGGCTTGTCGTTCTTTTTCTTATGCTTTTTCTTGCTTTTCAAGGCATTGTCTACAGGTTTGGGTGGCGGCACGTAGTTCAGGTCCTTTCGGATATGACCACGGCCACATTTACAATCGCAGGCTTTAAATGCGAGATCGTACCCTTTTTTGGTCCACAGGTTCTGTAAACGTTGCTTTTCGCTCCAGCTTCGAGCTCGCCCGCACGACTTCAGATACGCCAAAACAGTTTCCTCCCAGTCAATAAAACAATTGCCATGCATCCAAATTCCCATTGTACACTGGTCATTATTGCAATAAACTCTTACCGCATCCCCTGGGTCGCTCGTGTCTATCAACTCGTCCGGGGTGAGACAGGTAGACGGCGTGCAGCACGCTACGTGAGTTTGCTGGTCTCCATTTCGAGCAGCGTGCACGTTGGCGTTTCTGTCATGGCCAATCTGCTGCACGTTGTTATTCGTATCCTCCCTTTTTCCTCTTTGATTTTTGTAATGCTTTTGGTGCGGCATCTTCTATACAGCATAAACTTTTGTATTTCATTAAAATATGCAACTGTCACAGACACAAAATTCTTCTTTTACCACGAAACATTCAAATACACATACCGGCCGCTTCCATCTGCCGGCGAGATTGCTTGTTTTTGTTGATACTCGGTGGGCTACTCGTAAATGGCTTACATGTGAAAGATGATTGGCTGTGAATTCGGTCTTTACATTTGATTGGTGTTCTCTGACCTCTGAACCCCCATGATTGATATGGATCCAGCAAAGTAACGGAAAAAATGTGTTTACGTTTGCAGTAGAAGTAGGTCGAGGCCGGTTGACTCATGTAGCGTATTGTCAATATTGCTAGAGTTTGTTTATCACGGCAAATTCTCCTCGGGAAATAACTCTGGTATACATTGTAAAAGTGTAATGGTTGCATATTCTGTTATCACATCAATAAAATATTTAAAACTAGGTCGGCGTATTATCTGTGGTTTATAGGAAGGAAACTTCTAGCTAATCGGGGCAATGTTTTCTACTGCGCATATTGTAAGACAATCTGATTAACGAAAATACACCCCCCATTCTGCTGTAAATAGATTTTGGGAATAATTCTAACGATCGGCTGAACGTGGCGTTTTTTGTGCTTAAAGATATTATGTCTATTAAATAAAAAGCATTCAATATATTATCCTGCATATTTATGTAGGTAGTTCTTACAGATCTATTTATGGCCCTAATGCATTCACAATGTTAATCAGACCGAGAAGTTCTAGAGTTTATTTCAACATTCAGCTATTCAGCCGAAGATATTTTTATCCTCTCCATTCAAAGGAAAAACGTTATTGAGTGTATAAATCATAATGCTAGATAAAACTTTACTGTGAAGTGTTATTCAAGTGTTTATTTTTAATTTTTTTATTTAGTCGCGAAAATTTGAAGTACGTGCATAAAATTTATGCATAGAAAAACATTTTTCAAGATTGATAGTTCAGGGAAAAAAAAATCAACCATGAATGCAATTAATATTTTAAGGTTGTTTTATATTGTAAATGAAACTAATTAAGATTAAATTATAAGTGTCGATCATGTCAAAGTGAATAAATCGAATTGATTAACGTTGCTACATAATTATAATGTAACATGTACTGTATATTTTTAGAGTCTGTGTGGAATATGAAAAAAATAACTATATGCTTGAAGCTACAGAGAAAAAAAAATCCTGACGTGGACTTTCTTGTATCAATAACTAAGAGTTCAGACAAATATAAACTTCACCTCATATGTTTGAATCCCACCGAATAAAACCAAGAACTAAATTTAGGAAACACAAAATTATTTTCATATCACAAATATTTTTTTATATTTTGATTTTTATTTCTTAATTCTTAAACTTACAGATATTCAAACTTATAATTAAGTTTGCAGACCATTAAAGTTATGTTTTCAAGAAGCTTAGAATATGAGAGTGAACGCATATTTCACTTTGTTCTAAATTTCTAATACATGTATATAGACATTTAATTAGAAGTTTTATTTATATATATATATACTTAATTTGGCATATTTTTACAACTTTAATTAAAATTTTATTCCAATTTGTCACTAAATTTTATGCATTTTAATACTGCAAATCAAATGACACTTCTAAAGTAACAGTTGCTAATGTATGGTGTACAAGTAAAAAGTATAAAACAAAATCCGTGAAATCTCTGTTTAAAAGTTTTGAGATGAGACAAGACAATGATGAAAAAAAAAATGTCTCAATTGAACCTTTAATTGAACAGAGGTTGAGCACTACATGCTAAATATGGCTCTACATTGTTCGAATCAGGCCTTGGAATTAACATTGCATTATTTGCGACTGACCGATTTCCTTCCTGCAAGCAAGGGTCACATTCGTGCATTTTCCCCAACAGCTGCAAGAAAATCGTAATAATTCCTTGTTTTTGTTTTGTTGTGTTTGCATCCCTGAGAAATATAATTGTCGACGTATGCCTTTTTTCTCTCCGTGCATTCAGAAACAGCAAATATCAAAAGCAACATTTTTTGCTTCAATCAGGGCAGTGAAAAAAGTAAAACATTTCATCTCTATGTCATTTTAATGAATCTAAGGGGATAAAATGATTCCATTCACTGATTTTTGCGGCGGGGTAAAATGTTCAAGGTCGGGGTTACTACGATCTTACTCGCTCGACACGGAACAAAGAATCCCTCTTTGATTAGGTTTTCTCTGTCCTTGCGACCCTCTGTATCAAAAAATGCCTGATGTTCAGGGTTCGACTCGGGGTCATCTTTGTTGGCGCTCATGAAGTTCTAATACAGCTGTTGTTTACAATTGAGACCAATGTAACGTTACATTAAAGGGTCAATTCCAGGTTTCCAAGTCAGGCCTAAAGCACAAGTTTAAAGTGTCAATCGGTGAAAGTTTTTTTTTTATCTGATTATGGACGATATCATCAATGATCATCTTAATGCAACGCTGACTTGATGGTTGCATGCCGAAACATCTTAAAGTCTGGCTCACTTCCTAAGATCCCAATGTGACAGAAACCACCATGAATAGCTAGGAATTAGTGTCAATATTTTAAACAAAAGAGGCATAAATGAATCAACGACCAGAACCACCATATACTGTACATGTATACTTAGTATGTAAAGGAGGTACAAAATAAAAGAAAATAAATTATGTTGTCCTTATGTTAATTCAAGCATTATAATTTGTAGTTTTCCTCATCAAAGCCATGAGCAGTCCCATTAAGCATAGACGATAATGCTTTTCTTTTCTCAAAAATGATTTATGAAAAAAAACTGGTTTCATGTTTAAAGGGTAAAACTGAAAAATTTTGATTTTATTTTTTAAATCAAAGCTTTACAATTATGTCTCAAAGCGTTGCAATATTTTGAAAATCTGTTAAAATATGGTATTTGCAACTTAATTAGGCTAAAAAGTATACCCAGTCCTTGCATCCATTCTCTTTTGCATCGTTTGTCCCTTTCCTTTTGTTTTGTCCTTTCCTTAGAACAAACCCTGCTTCTCCCGATACATCACTTCATCAGTTCTCTCTTCATTTAAATCTACAGACTACACACTTATCATTCAAATGCCTTTTTTTCGAAATGCCTGACTGCGGTAGTTGCAAAAAATCAGAATTAAGACAACCTGAACGATTATCTTTGAGCTTAGAAGTCAAGTGCTTATACATATTATGTATACTATAGTTTTACACTATAAGATGAAATTATAATTACGAGATTTTCTGTATTAAAAATAAATTTAAAAGAAAACTCCGCGCAGTTAGAACTACCTGTTCCAACCAATCTATAAAACATGAATGAATGTAGACGGTGGCGCGCGCACTGACGCAATTTGATGCAAACGAAGGTCACGCTCAGGGGTTCACGGCCAGGTTAAGCGGTACTCAATACCTTACGACCACCTATCACTACAAATCAGTTAATATATTCAATACATAGCTATAGAAGGTAGGGTGGGGGCGCCCTTAGTTTCCCCGTCTGTTTTATCTACTCTTATATTCAATATAAATTTCAAATAAACCTTATAATTGTAGTTAAAACATCCTTAATTATGAAAAAAATATTGAAGAACATATTAAACGGACTGGGGAAAAGGAGGTATATTCTCCTTTATGATAAATCAAATTAATTCTCCTTTATGACAGATCAAATTAATAACCAGAATCAGGGGTAAGGTTGAACACACAGTTAGCTCTTGGATAAGACAGCAGATACTGTCAACTCATACTCTTTTTTGAATGACAAGACATGGGTTGTTTCTTTGAGTTGGTTCACTTGAAGGAAATTATAGCTTGATATTCAGGAAGTTGTCCCACATTGTAATCTTTGATTCATACATTTGATGTAGATTTAGGAAAAGCTATTTAAAAGTTTACAAAAATAACATGAGATTCTTGACAACTTCTCATGTTTCTATGAAGATGGTCTCGTTTTTCAAATAGGCCTACTGCGTATTTCTTTGTGTTTTTTAATTCACAAATTGTACGTACGTTTTGTTTTTTCCTGTAATTTCTATGCTTTGATTTTCTGTAATGAAATACTTGGAGATAACGAAAGGTATTTAAGCTCAAAAGTCCATTGAATAATACAAAATAAGAGCAGAGGAAACACGGACCTCCAAAAGATCAGAGGTGGGATCAGGTGCCATGGAGGAGTGAGCATCCTCTGCCAACTGGTCACATCCGCTGTGTGCTCCTCGTCATGATCGGGAAATAACGAAAAATTCCGTCGACAATCAATTCTGTTTCTAATGGCCTAACTATCAGTATGAAAAACGGCGGCCAGTATTTGACTTAATGATAAATTGTATTTGCTGACGTCATTGGATCGACCATAGAATGATCATGCTGTTTATTTTCCTTTTACTTCCTTGTACTATTTTTCTGTAAATTGTATTCCAGTTTTGCTCTCTAAAATTTATGCGCTATAACTTCTTCCCTAAAAAAAAATTTCCGCAACTCGTGTGCTATGATTCTGAGCTACTTTTTTTTATTTGTTCTTTAAATTCTGTGCTATTTTGCCATGATTTTTCTCTCTCTTTAATTTGTGTAATTTATTTGTTTCCTGAAACATTGACATTTCCGAGACTTGTGGTTTGCCTCCTTTCATTAACTTCTGCCTTATATATGCCTGCTCTCTGTAACTTCTTCGCTATATGTTTTTTATGTGTAACCTGTAGGCCTTTTTGTCTAAATTCTGCGTTATACTAGTACTTCTTTGTTCCCTCTGTGCTGTTGTTGTTTTCGTCTATGCTGTGATTGTTTTCTGTTACTTCTGTGCTGTGTTTGTTTTTTGTTAGTTCTGTGTTGTTCTTGTTTATTGATACCGCTGTGCTGTGTTTGCCTCCTGTCACTTCCGTGATGTGTTTGTTCTCTATTCCTTCTGTGTTGTGTTTGTTGTCTTTTACTTCAAGGCTCTGTTTGTTATTTTATTGCTCCTTTGTTGTGTTTGTTTTGTGTTACTCCTTTGTTGTGTTTGTTTCTATTGCTCCTTTGTTCTGTTTGTTTTCTGTTGCTCCTCTGTTGTGTTTGTTTTCTGTTGTTCCTTTATTATGTTTGTTTCCTATTACCTCTGATATGTTTTTGTTTTCCGTTTCTTTTGTGCTATGGTGTTTTTCTTTGTTTCTGTA